CTGGTCTAGATCAGGGGTACCATAACCACCTGGAGCCCCAGTCTGGATCTGGACTGCAGGGACTGTAGTATGAGGGAGGCTGTTGTCAGGCTTCACAGCAGCAGACCTGGTGGTGGTGAAGGGTGCAGTGGAAGTGGTAGGCTTCAGGGCTGGGGGCCCACCAGCAGTGGGAGGGGTCTGGGAGCAGTGGTGGCAAGCTGTGGCCGGCAGCACCAAAGGGCATCAAATTCCACATCAGGCCACTCCTCTCCCAACCCCCTCACCCCCAATTTCCAGTAGCCTGGTAGGCTTGATAGAGAGGCTCTTTGAGCCATATGGCATTTTTATACATGCACGCACCACAGTGCCAGGCGCTTACATTTGTATAAATGGTGAAATGTGTGTCAGTGCTGAGAAAATGGCGGTGACACACTTTTGAACTGAAACACTTTGAAGGTGTTTTAGTTCAAAAGCACAATGCCACCACTTTCTGCGTGCGGAAGTGCATTTCACCATTTATGCAAGTGCATGCGACGAAGCGCTGAGTGCATCATCTTGCATGCTCTGTAAGATTCGATTAATCGAGTCTGCTCCAAAGCACTGGATTTCCATTTTAGAGTAATTTCATCTAGATTAGGGTTGTCAAACATAACTGGTTGAATCTTTATGGCAGTGGAATAGTATGTAGTTGAGAGGAAGTATCGAGTGGGATTCTCCAGGGGTCTGTCCTGAACCTGGTATTGCTTAATATCTTTTTTTTAGTGATTTGGGAGGAAGCAATTGTGTGAGCTCTCATCAGACTTGTAGATGACACCAAGATGTGCAGAGTTGCAGACACTCTGGATGGTAGGGCTAGGATCCAGAAAGACCTGGATAAAACTGGAGAAATGATCTGAAATCAGTCAGATAAAATTTAACAAGGGCCAGTGCAAAGCCCTGAAATTGGGATGGAACAATCTCCTGCACAAATACAGACTGGAGGAAGACTGGCTAGAGGCTGCAGCATTGCAGAGAAGAAGTTAGGGGCTATAAATGGGGACCTTTCCAAATCATGATTGTGTGGCTTTTGTGGAAATTCGATGATCTCTCTGAAATTCATGGGGAAAAAAAGTCTTAATAAAAATACTGGCTCCACAGTAGGAGTCAGCAGTCTCCTGGCCACGCAGCTTGGCCCGGCCAGGAGAAGGGTGGGGGGAGGATATTAGCACAAAGGTCAGCAGGCAACCCCCACGCCTGCCCCCACCCTGCCCCTCTGATTGGCTGAGAGTGCTGCCTATCATGTGGCACCACCCCCTCCACCGATCAGTGGTAAGAGGCAGGACTACTTGATGGATAGTTCTCTCAGTGAACCTGCAGTGTGAGGGGTGGGGCAGTACGATGGACAGCTCTCTCCAACCAGTCAGTGGCAGAGACTTGGGCCACCAGGCCTCCTTGGCCAATCATAGGCTGTGGGAGCCCCAGCCATGATAAGCCCTTGCAATTGGAAGCTGGCCCTGTGATCTGCCCATGAAATTGGCCGCCTGCCTCCAAGAGTTGGGTAGACCTCTAGATATAATGGACTGTAAGCTGCATATGTGCTAACAGTATGCTCCTATTACAAAAAAGACCAATAACAGATGTCCTTTGCACTACTGCACCTTACAGTCTGTACAGTGGCTGGAGGATTGCTTAGGATTTGTGTCTTATTTGTTCATTTTTTATAGGGGAAAATTCTGTTGCTAGTATTTGCATTGTAATTGAAGAATGATATGCAACATGTCCACGATTGTTGCTACAAGTAGAAAGTTTGGAAACAGTGTTAATTCTGTGGTAGTGAAGCATTTTACAGCCTGTGCTATGTAGTTTTCTCTGGAAACATAGAGGTTGTGCACGTGTCAATGGGGGGGTGGCGGGGGGCACAACTCTGTCCTGCAGCTTCTGCTGTTTCCAGGTGCTGGCCAGCAAGGGTGCAGCCACGTGTCCCACCATCAGCACAGAAATCGCACCACCACTGCCACCCCTGCTGCTGCTGGGTCGTCACTCCAGCCAGTCAGTAGCCCCATGCGTCCATGCACGTAAATTGGGGTGGGGGGTGTACCTCACCCCATGCATTGCCTATGGCGGGAGGTGTTCTATTATATTTAGGGCCTTACCAAATTCACAGCAGAAGTGGGCTGCATGGCAGCTCCTTTGACTTTACAGGTTCCCTCACATGCCCCGCCTTGACCTGCTGATTGGCCGAGGGGCCCGCCTTCTGGCTCCTGATTGGCAGGAAGGCGAAAACCACAGTTTTAAATATGGTGCTGTTTTTGCCTCCTGCATCAGATGGTCAGCATTAAGCACCAAGGCCACTGGGGCCCCATAACCAATCAGCAAGGAGTTGGGGGGAACCTGCAAGATGAAAGGAGCTGCTGTGCAGCCCACTTCCATCGTGAATTCACTAGGGTCCTAGCTCTTAACCATGTTGTGTAGATTGGAGTTTGCCTTCAGCATACTTATAGCTTTCTAGAAGTCCTGGCAGTCTGAAGGTATGACTAGAAATAACTACTACGTAGTCCATTCTTTTTAGAAGAATTTAAACCATGGCTTGCTTGTGTAACTTACGTCATGTGATTCTTTAACTTAGTGAAGTTGAGGAGTACTTGGCTGTTCGTAGAAATGGCAGAACTTAAACTTCTGGAATATAGTGACGAATTTGTTCTAGCACTGTGCTTCTCCATTTTTGCTACATCTTGGACTCTCTCTTGCTTTGTAAAGTAGGAAGGGCAAAGGAGTTGCAAACCCCTGATAAAAGTTCATGCTCTGAGGATTAGGACTGAAATATTATACTGTATGTAGAGCACAGACATGGGTTAATCTTCAGTATGATACTTACCTGAGTGGGTATTTTAGAAATGAGCTGTGCTGTGGAGTTGGTATAGAACTAGAGGAAGGATCTGAACAGTCATAGAATCCTAAAAAGCTACAGCTGGAAGGGACCTCAGGGGCTAGGAACAGAAGTTACATATGAACTGGTTTAAGTGATCAGAAACTGGTTTAAGCCTGTAACAGAGAATAACCTCAGTGCACATAAACCAGTTTCAAAGTAAATGAAACTGGTTTAAGGTAAACCTGGTTGAATGTTTATATGTAATAGGCTTAACTGATTTAGGTCAAACTGGTGTCCCAGACCCCTTCCTAGTTCATGTGAAATCAGAGTCCCCCAGCATGCTTTTCAGCCCTGGGCTGGGATGTGCTGTGTGCTCCAGAGAGCAAGGGCTGGTTCTGCCCCTCTGCTCCCTAGCTGGAGCTATGAGGGATGGCTCACTGCCCCTGGCCCCAGGCAAACCCTTGCTGGGGTTTGGGGCTAGGGATGGGGGTTAAACCTACCTTTCTCCGAGTGCAGAACTGCCCTGCCCTGCTAGCTTATTTTAGTGCTGGCTTTGACTGGACTACAAATCCCAAAGGCACCTGGAAGCAGGAAGAGGAACTGATGATCAGCCCTGCAGAGTCCTGCTGCAGTGATTGTGGACTGCTAATCCCAGAGACCTCGGGGGTATCAGGAAGAAGAAACGAACACACAGCCCATGCTGGCTATGTGCCAGAGAGCCATGTTGTTGTGCCCTTTGTTTTTTGGCTTGAGCCACTGTAGGCATGTGGCTGCATTTCCTGAATCGCAAGTGAATGTCTGTTTGTTTGTTTATTGGTTCAATCTTTGCAGTTTAGACTAGCGTGCAAAGATGGAATCAATTCAGCCTAGCGTGCAAAGATGGAATCAATTCAGCCTAGGGCTTTTTGACTGCCTGTACTTAGCCAGGAGGTTTAGTTCAACCCTTTGCTCAAGGCAAGGTCATCCCTGACTAAACATCCTGTCAACTATTTGTCAAACCAGCTCCTGAAAAGTTCCAGGAATGGAGATTCCACAACCTCTCTGGATAGCTTGTTCCAATTATTAACTACCTTTATAGTTAGAAAGTTAAACCTAAAATGCAACCTAAATCTCACCTGCTGCAGTGGAGATCATTGCTCCTCGCCTTGTCCCCTGTCTGTCTCCATCTTTTTACAGGACTTCATTAAATCCCCTTTCAGTCTTCTCTTTTCCTGATTAAATTAATAGTTCTCAACCTCCCCCATAAAATGCCTGCTCTTAGCTTTTGCTTATTTTTTTACTACAGAAAATTAATATAACAGTTTTTCTTGAAAAAGAGAACTTGGAAAGACCACAATAGGTCAGAATGTTTTTGACTCTATGGATTCCTTTGTGAAATTTCTGGGTTTATTTTGTGAATCATATGTAGGCATTTATATACCTAACAGTGCTAATATTGTGTGGCATCTCCAAAAGGATCTCATGGCACCTGAGGGTGATGTGGCAATTCAAGTGAGAATCACTGTACTAAATAACCTTAGTTCTTCAGCCTTTCTGCTAAGTCATGTTTCCCAGGCCTCTAATTTTTGTCACCTTCCACTGGAGTCTTTCTGGTCTGTCCACATCCTTCTAGAAGTGTGGAGCACAAAACTACACACACTGCTCCAGGCAAAACCTTGTCAGCATTGGATTAGAGCAGAGGGATCACTTCCCTCTATTTTCTAGCGACGCTTCTGTTAATACAAGCAAGTATGCTATTGGGTCTTTTTGTCCAAAAAAATCCCCCAAAACCACTGGCTCATTCCATTTATGGTCCACTGGAAGCCCCATGTCCTTTTCTGCAGTATGACATCCTAGCCTGTCTGTCTGTATTTATGCAGTGAAGGAGGGACTTGCTTTGGTCATAAATAACAATTGTATGCTATTTCCATGGATTAAATTTTTTTTTGAATTTTAGTGCTAAATTTATTTCAAGTTTGCCATGGAAACACGTTGTACTTCTCCTCCAGCCCTCTCTGTGTTGCCTCAATCATGGAAACATTGAAAGCATTTCCATTTCTCAGCAGAGGACACCCTGCAAGCTGTAGATAAACACTAATAGCATTTGGCTTCATTCATGGGAAATTACAAGCATGAAATACCCAAGTTCTACAGTAATGCACATTTTTTTCTTGTTCCTATTCTTTCTTTACAGAACAGAAGAGCTGCCTACAACTCAGCAACCTGCAAAACCACCAACGCAAGTCAATGGAACAGGTAATCGTAAATAACTAGCAACTGGATTCACTTACCTGATTCTCAATGCAAGTCATTTGCTTTCTCCAAATGGATCTGGAAAATAAGACTATAACACTGTTATAAAGCTTCTGGTTGTTTGAGCAGGTTTTGAGAGAGCTATATGTGAGGGAAGGTTTTTTGTCATGCCCTCCTCTCAGAATGTGGTCCTGGCTTATCTTCTTGCAGCAGTGTTAAGATGACACTTGCAAGTTGTGCAGACAGAACATATGGGGACTAGCTGTCAAGTAGTCGGTCTGTCAGTCTGTCTGCCTCAGATTTGTCAGCTTTCCATTTTCCCTCATGCTGATGGAGGGAGGTGATTTGAGAATGAAAACCTGTTCTGCATATATTACTATTTGTTTACATAAAGCATTGCAAGGACAGTGCATAATGCAGAAATACCTGGCCTATCTCTAGTCTAGTTTGATTTCTCTTTTTCTCAGGACACTTTCTCAGAACCAAGGTGGCTTTTCAAAGACTTAGATATTTGGTTATTATAAACAAGCTGATTTGTTTCCAGTGTATAGGTTTATTTCTAACTGTTTTTTTCAAAACTTGAGCTGGTTGTACTTGTGGTTGAAGCTTCACAAGGTGGTTTTCTTAGTGATGACAATGTGAAAATATTTAGTGCTTGATATCTCCATTTTCGATTCTGTAAGAATCTGTTTCATACTATAATGTGAAATAATACTTCTAACTTCCAAAAAAGCTGTATGCTGAAGAGGAAATTACCATATGCACCTAAATTGAAGACTACTTTGAATTTTAATATGGCCCATTGTTATTAGATTCTAGACATGGAAAACTATAAATTAGTTTTAATTTTCCATTTCTTCAGTCTAGTTATTGGAGGGTCCTTGTAAATTCATTCTTCTCCCTTCCTCTTCCCCTTACTCGATTGCCACAGGGAAAGCAGTGGCAGAAAGAGCAGTGACTAGGGGACCGGCAGCCTTCTCCATGTCCCTTATTCCTTTCCTGTCCCATCCCCGCCGCCCACACTGCAGTTACCATCGATTCTGAGGGACCGCTGATGACCTTTACAGCTGCTCTGTGTCTGTCTCTACTGGGGCCACAGAGCAGCCAGCCAGACCAGGTCAGGTTTGAGTCTGGGAGTGCAGCAGCTCCCCCAGTTGCTCCATATGCCCCTTCCCTGTGCTCCCCCGGCTCTGTGCACTGCTCTCCCATGTTCTCCCTTGCTCTGTGTGTCCCTCTTACCTGTGCTTCTCCATTGCTGCCCCCTGCCCCCAGGCCTGTCTGGAGGTGCAATAGTTGCTTGCCCAGTCTTTATTCAAATATAAGATAAATGTTTTTACCAAAGTTGAAAGGAAACCTCATCTTAGATTCAGGTAAATATGACATTTTATTTTTGGTCTGCTGGAACCTGAGTTACTTAGAAAAATAAATAAATCCTTCTAATAGAGTTGTCTGGGAACCTGGAGAGTGTGTGTGTGTGTGTGTGTGTGTGTGTTTACTGCAAGGTCCAAACTGGGAAATCTGGGGTATTCAAAGATTTGTATTTAGGAAAAATCAAAAAGATTAGCAGTGTGGTCCCATCTTTCTCCCCTCCACGCAAAGTATTGTTTTAAGATTTCTAGAGCGGACTAGTCTCCAGGCAGCTTTGTGAATGAACTGGAGTTCCCAGGGTGTATTTTATGGGTGGTTGAGGAACTGAGAATCTGGAACTCTGGGAGTTCATTGTGCAGCCTGAGCTACTGAAAAAACTGCAGACTTGGGAGCTGGATTTCTCGAGAGCTACCTGGCTCCCTGGTGGGCAGGAGAATTGGCAGGAAATCCTGTGGCTTCCATCAAAACAGCGTGGTCTAGCAAGAAGCTTTGTTTGTGACGCATCTTAGGTTGACAGATATTCCATGGGAAAACGTGATCTCAACTCAGGTATGATAACAAGTGCAGATCTTCCCTACTTGGTACCTGGTAAGGTACTTCTAGTATGAGCAGGCATCTAGATACATTCCAAGAACTCTACCACAGTAAACTGATCATTAAAGAATGTGGCTGACTCTTATCTCTCTGCTAAAATCATACAGTTTTGTTATAAGGAAATTGTAGTTTGTGTAGATTGGGCCTTAAACTTGTGGGTGGCAGGAGAGGGGGTTAACATTTCCCAAACTGAGCTTGGGAATGGATTTATGTGATAAAATGGGTCTGGCCTATGTGATAAAAGGGATGTTATCCTTCTTTGGCAAAGGGGAAGAGGCCTGTGAGAAGGGGCTCTTTAACTTGACTAACTTGTAATTGTGTGGGCAGTGGGTCCTCGGAGAAAAATTAATCAATGATGACATGACTATTCCTTGAGAAGAACCTTAATTATTAAGTCATGACCTTGCACTACAGCAGATTCCAAAATTTTATGAACTTTGCTCCAGCATAAATGGAGTATGTTTCTTTCTTATCCTTAATAACTAAAATATTTAAATGCTTCTTGTAAAATAAAGGATATTTGACTTCTATGCAAAACAGTTTTAATATTAAAATCTCATGACCCTTAACTAAAATGATTTATCCACTTTTTATTAAAGGGAAAAATTACCAGTCATTATCTTAATCATAATACCAACCAACAAATGCTTGATTTTAAAATAGTATATCACAACTAGCATTTGGCTTGGGATTAGTCAGTATTTGGAAAGTTATACTAGCCCCAATGAGCCTGAAGTCCAGTGCACTTTTTGGTTGTGTCAGAAAATCCTAGTAACAAACTGGGTAATAACAACCGAAAGACTTCATTGAAAGATCATGTCTTAAGCATTGAAAGCTTGAGAAATTTGAGGGCATATCTGAAATGAAAACAACCAAAAAAGGTAACACAAACATCATGATGTTTATTAAATTTATAATTCTGCTTAAACTCGGACAAATGATATCTATGAAAATATACAGCTTTTTAATTTATATCTTCAGTTTTTCACAGTAGGGTGGAATCTGCTATTTGGAATTTAGCAATTCAAGTCTTGAGAGAAGAGGTAATTTACAAAGAGTGCCACTAAATTACAAATATGCATACAGGAGCAATTCTGGTTGCATCTTGCAACAATTTACATGTGATCTTTTCAAACAGATTCAGTTTGAGTCTTAATATACAATGTATACTATTTGGGTCTACAGATAAACGGGGTCACACGGTATGTTCAAGAGTCCAGAAGTGGTTTTATGACAAATTTGGAGAATATATCGAGGACTTCAGATTTCAGCCAGAGGAAAACACAGTGGAAACAGAAGAGCCACTTAGTGCTAGAAGGTAAAAGCAACTAAAGAATGCTTTTTCAAATTAAAAGGGCATACTTTTTTTTCCAAAGGAATGATCAATTGCAAAGAATTATGTGCATAAAAAGTATTAAAAGCAGGGCTGATGACTGCTTGTAAAATGAATGATTTTTATTGAGAATTGTTTCCCATGTTTCTTTGCTTTATGGAATGATACGATACATTAGCACAGTTCAGACTTAACTAGCTTAAGGATTGCTTTCTTTAGCACAGAGGATAGCTTCCTCATTAGAATGTTGAAACTTTGTTTCCAGGTTTTGATCTGATGTAAGGTAGTAGGGCTTAGTAACTCATTCTGAGATGTGCTTTTGGCAATTGAGAATAACTTGTAACATTGATTTACTTGATATCCATGTACAGCATGTACTGTACTAGAACACAACTTGTACAGATATGCCAAGTTGCACTGGAATGTGTACAGACTGATTAACATGTTACATTTATCCATATTTTTTCTAGGTTAACTGAAAATATGAGAAGACTGAGTAAGTACCAAGCAACAACCATATCTAGACATAAAACATCTCATTTTAATGTAGCTTAATATTTACGCATACAAAAATTCATAGGTTCTGAGAAATAGATCTAGTTGAGAGGTAGAAGTGGTTTCTGAAACCTTAAATTCTTGCTTAGTGTAGACAGCTCCATTTATTTACTGTAGAATGATAGGAATCTCTCTGTGCGTCTCTCTCTCTCTCTCTCTCTAAGGTTGTGGACAAGTGACATGTTTATACCTGTGCAATTTTTTCATTGGGTTTGTATACTAATGGGTTTCATTGGGCTTCTATACCAAACCACATCAGGATTGTGAATGGACATACAATCGTATGTGAGAGTAGTAAACAGTAGGTTGCTATTCTAGTCACTTAAATACTGTGCCCAGTTTTGGTCCCCATGCCTCAAAATGGATGTAGAAGAACTAGAGAAGGGCTACAAGGGTGATGCATGGTATGAAGGTGCTTCCATGCAAGGAGAAACTAAAGAGGCTAGGTCTTTTTAATCTAGACAAGAGATGCTTAAGGGTTTACAAAAAACTAAAGGATGAAGTGAGAGTAAACAGGAAGTTTATTTATACTACTAATAATACAAGAACTAGGGGTAACAAAATAAAACTAGTAGGTAGCTGAAACTAAGAAAAGGAAGTTTTTCACACATGTAACTAAAGTGTACAACTCATTGCCACAAGATGGTGTGGAAGCTGACAGTTTTTACTCAGATTCAAAAAAGAATTGGACAAAATCTTGAAGTTAAGGTGCATCAGTAGGTATTGAGCATGGATTAGGGGTACAGCCTCTGAATTAAAACTTCCTCTCCCATTTACAGCCTCCACCATTTAAGGTGCAGGAATAGGTGGGAAATCTTGGTTGCACCCTGTCCACTCTCCCTTTCATCATCCACTGTGACACAGATCCATCTTGTCCGGTATCCTGTGGTCTGACCCCGTAAATGTCAGTTCTTATGTACCTTGGATAGAGGATGTAAATATGGTGCCTTTATTAAGCTCTGAATAGACAGGATACCTTCTTATTACAGAGACTATAATATTGTTGCTTTAATTAAGTGAGTATGGTAATGCTTTCTCGATGATCTGTGTAACCACTTTACTACAGAAAGGTGATCTTGCAAATACTGGAACACTAGTATAAAGTTCCTGGGACTGCTAGGATAAGGACTGCTAGATTGAATAAAAGCAGGTTTGGGTCCTACCTGATGGATAGGAAATGTGAACCTTTCCAAGTGATTAGGAGAGAAATTCTTAGGGCATCTTGTTCCTTTCAGTGTACTCTAATGCTTTGTTTAGTTTAGTTGAAAGGTAACATTATCACACAATATTGCTTCCATCACTTTCTTTGGGAGACTATTCTGTGGCCTGTCTCATCAGGAAGTCTGTTGTAGTCCTGCTTGAGTGAAAACTGCAAGATCAAGTCCTGGTATTTACTTGGCAGATCCAAATAGTTCTTAAGTTACTTCAAGTGAGTAGCAAGGGCTAGATGAATGTGAGATAGCATAAAGGCCTGCTCAAGCCACTGAGGCCTGTTCTCTGGCTTACAGTAGGCACAAATTGAAGTCAACATTGTTACTAATGTTAACCCTCTCAAGGTTGTATTACTGCTGCAAGGCCACAGGAATTGCTGTAAAGAAGGGCTGAAAAGTGAACACCAGCTCTTCTCTTGCTACTGACCTTATAACTAGTTCCACCAGTTTGGGCTGTATCATGGCCCCTTACAGCTGCCCTGACTACTGTATTTCTGCATAACTCTATCACTGCTTCTTTTGGGAATACCCATGGAGAATATAGCAAGCATGGCTGAATGACCTGTACAGACTAAGGGCCTGGTACTCCTTGGGTTCAGTAGGACATATGACTGAGTAAAAGAGTGTACAAGGTCAGATCAGGTTCATCAAAGGCTAGGGAGTTTAAGGGTGGAGACAGGGAAATGGCTGAAGGTTTTAAATGGCATTGCAGATTAATTTTTTTTTTTCGGGTGAGAGCATAAGAATACTCAAGCTATAGTCTTAAGCTGGTTAGCTCAGGTACAAGTTATATGCTGGTTGTGGCAGCACAGAGCTCAGCGGGCACGTCTACATGAGACAATGCGCAGACGACTAATTCTACACCACATTAGCGCAGTGGGCAAAGCCTGTGCTAATCCACGGTACGTTTAGTCTAATGCACATTTATGTAACCAAAAAAACCCCCATTCATTTGTGCTAATGCCCAGTGGCATCGATTTATGGCACATTAAGTTAGTACCTGTCATTACAGGTACCAACTTAATGCACCATAATTATAGGACATTAATGAACACGTAGATGTGTCCAGTGTGGCCTAATTTACTTTCTTAGTAGAATGAACTAGCCCACACTGAATTTCATAGATTCATAGATTGTAAGGCTGGAAGGGACCTTGGAAGATCATAGGGTCCAGCCCCCTGCACCAAGCAGGAAAGACAACTGGGGGTCAGGTGACCCCAGCAAGGTGACTCTCTAGTCTCCTCTTGAAGATTTCCGGGGTAGGCGATTGCACAACCTCTGGAGGGAGCTTATTCCATAGTTTGGGCACCCTACCTGTGAAGAAGGTTTTCCTAATGTTGAGGCTGAATCGGTCTTCTAGGAATTACTGGCCATTACTCATAGGTTTGCCCTCGGGTGCCCCGGTGAACAGTTTCTCACCAAGCCCTTGATGTACTCCCCTAGTGTAGAGGTAAGCTGCTACCAGGTCCCCTCTCAGCTTTCTTTTCTTCAGGCTGAAGAGTCCCAGATCCCTTAGCCTTTCCTCGTATGGCTTGCTGTGCAAGTCTCTGATCATATAGATGGCTCTTCTTTGGATTCTCTCAAGCTTGTCCACGTCCTTGTTAAAGTGTGGTGCCCAGAACTGGACACAGTACTCTAGCTGCGGTCTTACCAGTGCTGAGTGGAGCAGAAGAATCACCTCAGTTTTGCTGGAGATGCATTGATCGGTGCATGCCAGAGTATTATTTGCCGTACTGGCTACAGTGTCACACTGCCGGCTTACATTTGTACTGTGGTCTATTATTACCCTCAGGTCCCTTTTCATTTGTGGTGCTAGTCAGTTTGGTGCTGCCAAGCCTGCAGGCATGTTGGGGGTTGCTTATCCCGGGGCGGAGCACTTTACATTTCTTGATGTTGAACTTCATCAGATTCTGATTCACCCAACTTGTTAGCCTGCCTAGGTCTGCCTGTACCCGTAGCCTATCTTCAAGCATGACCATGCTTCCCCATAACTTGGTGACATCCACAAACTTGGCCAGTGAGCTCTTTGCCCCCACATCCAAATGTTGTTCATGTTCATGAGTTCATGTTGGGCCTTCTACTATTAGATAACTCTTGATACCTGAGCTGGTGTTGAGGTTTTCAGCAAACTCTTTGCAGTTTTATATAATTTTTTTAATGATAATCCAGTCTGGACATGAATTGTGAGAGACTTGTTGTCACATTAAAAATGGTTCATGCTGCTGTTAATTGCCCAAAATAGCTGATCTTTTTAATCTCTTTCTGCCTAGAGAGAGGTGCCAAACCTGTTACTAATTTTGTGAAGAATCTTTCTGCCTTATCAGATTGGTATTCTGTCTACACTTCTGCTATTGCCTTTATTGTAAGTTATCAGTTTCCTCCAAGAACAATAACTTGCTGAAAACATTTTGGCCATTGCTTATTAGAGTTCTTTGCTTGCTATGAATCTGATTTGATATATTTGGTTAAAGCCAAAACATGTGGTACAGTTTTTAATACTAAATTAAATGCTATGTGACCTTTTATTTCATAATTATTTCACATTTAGATTGATCCTTTGCAACAGTGACAAGCTTCATATGTCAAAACTCTTGTCAGGTGGCTGGAAACATTTGTAGAGGTGGGGAAGAGCGGTGGAGATGACAAATCTAAGCCACTTGCAAATACTGGAAGCTTTGTTTGAATACTTATGACAATCTCTTTCTAATTCCTAATGTGGATAGGCCCACCCTTCCCATTAATATCTGACCATAATATCATACAATGTATTAACTTGGGACCCTTGTTGTTCGTCTCGTCAGAAGTAAAGGTTGTTCCCTGAACCTTCTAATCTGCTGTCACTTAAGCTTATTAAACTTGATACAGCTCTTTGGATAGAGTTGGCATGAAAAATAATGAGGATGCCTCCTGTAGTCACATGCTTAAGTGCCTTATCCTTCCACTCGGGAAACTCTGATTCATTGCTAGTGTGGCCTTTTGGCCTTAAATTTGTTAATTGTTAACTATTGCTGTTGTGACTACCCATAGCTCTAGTGTTTGAGACATTTAATACCAAGCAGGAAACTGAGCTAGTACACTTGATACTTCTTGAGACTTGGTATAAAAGTCCTAACTCTATATGATGGCATTGCATATGTGAATCTGCCTGTCTTTTTATCATTCCCAGAAATGACTGAGTGCTTAATGGTTTTGGGAGGGGGTGGTGTTTGGAGCGTGGGTTGTGTTATACTGAATGGTTCAACAAATGTATTTCTGCATATAAATCATGGCAATTTAGTTGTGACTGGTAACTTCTTTTTTCTTCTTTTAATCTGCAGATTTACATGAATGCTGTATGGCATGGCTGGGCCATTCCTATGTTCTTATTTTTAGCAATTTTGAGGTTATCTCTAAATTACCTCATAGCCAGGTATTTATTTTGTTTATATCTGAAGGCCAATTTTAAATATTTAATTTATTTTCTGAATAGGCATTTTTAAGTCCATTATATCCAGGAAGAATTGTAAGCTATTACTTGTGCTGAAAACAAGGGGTAAAATGGGTCTTAATTGGCAGTTTGAGATTTTTGAAGCTATGACAAATAGCTCAAGGTGTATAAGCTAAGCTAATATTAGGATTATCATTTCTGGTGATTCCAGTTACCATAATCAATGTTGCATATTGAGATTCCATTATGCCTTTCCATAATACTGATAAATCATTGGAGAGCACCCCCAATTACAGCTTGTTGTGTTGCTTTTTTTGGGTGGAAAAACTTTGTCATAGACCTTGAACTACTACCATGTTCACCTGAATCCAGGATGACTCTGAATTAAAGATAACCACCCAATAATTGCATGGAAATTTTATAAATGTGTTTTCCATTTAACAGATCTAATTAGTGGAAGTTTGTCTTGTATTCATCCTCTCCAGTGCTGTGGCAGGGGAAAGTGGTGAGGGGCTAGGACCCAGACCTTCACCCCTGCCACATGCCCCCCTAATACCTCCCTTCCCCCCACTACCTGCCTGCCCCCTGCCTTCTCTCCCCCACACTTAGCTTCTGCTCTGGCTCCCCATCACCACGAGTTTTCCCCTAGGGTCAGAGCTGAGCCACTGCCTGCCCTAGGCTGGTAGACGGGGTTCCCCCACCCCCTACTTCCTGAGCTGACTGGAAAGGATAAAATGTTATCTTGGATTTGAGTAAATACAGTACTTGAACTTGGCTACAAATATGCTAATGAAAGCAGACTTAATTTTTCACAGTTTTAAATCTAATTAATTTTCATTGCCTGAAAGCAGTGTTTTACGTACTCTGTGCCAACACTCTATACTCTGTATTGTACTCTCAATACTTTGTCAGTAATATCTCCTTTTACAGTAACACTAAAAACCCCCCCAGCATATGTTAACTGTATGGAAAAAGAGGTACTTAAAGATTAGTTGTATTGGTATTGAATCTCACCCAGTGTCACAAAGTTTAGGTTTTTTGTTTGTTTGCTTTTAAGCTCTTCTTTCCAAAACCTCAACATCAGTCTTAGAATTATTAATAGTGAAAAAGTCACTCCCGTGCTAATCTATTATTGTGACCTGTAGTATATCAAGAGTTTTATTAAAAAGGTGAGATTCCCCATACTAACACCCTGCCTAACTAAAATTTAACATGTCAACTTCAGTTAAATATGTGTGGAACTCTGACTTTAAGTGCTGCTTTATCTGTTAAATGCTGGTTTAACAGGTGAAACTTCAGTAAACCCCATTCACAATGTGTAATGATGTAGGTTGTGGGGTTTTTTTTTCCCTGGAGAAAAGTAAACTCTATTTGGCAGCTCATTGTAAATGTCCTATGTGGTGGTAGTGTATATTTTGTGAAACAATGCTGTAATTCTTTAATTAGTATTTTTTGTCAGAGTGGTTGATGTGCCTGTTTAAGAGAACTCCCAGCTCTAATAATGTCTTCATACAGTTCATGTGTTTGTTGTCCCTGCTTGGAACAAACTTGCAAATCACTTACTTTGAGCATACATGTGGTTCTCTTCATTGTTGCATGTTAGTGTTAAGTGCTTGGAATGTCAAAACTATATGACTGGCTCTTGGAAAGCACATACCTACTTAAAAATGTAGCCAACATTTTCATTTTAAAATAATTTATTTTAAAAAGAATATGGGCTGAGAGTAGGAAACCATTTTAACACTTCAAAGTAGCCTAGAGAGACAATGAGAAAGGGATATTTACATTATTTGTGACTCTTCCCTTGGCTTCTAGGGGTTGGAGAATACAGTGGAGCATCGTGCCTGAAGTCTCTGAACCCATTGTAAGTCTGTAATCTTCAGTTTATATGGTATTTCATGCTGTTGTTCCAAAGCAAATGCATTATTACATGAATATTAGTGTTTGAAGGCTTCTTTATTTGTATGGGGTTTTTTATTGCTTATTTGGAGGAAGGGAAGGACATAAAATTGCAATGCTACCCTCACTTTTAAATCTTGGTTTTAAAACTACAAGTAAACAACTTTTATTATTTCTTTATTTATTCATTATTTCATTTTATTTTTTTGCTAAAAGCATTAGCAGTTTCTGGTGAGACCTGTAAATGTGCACCAGATTTTTGGGGTAAGCTGAAGTTGAATCCAATGGACTTTCTTTAATTCAGGAACCTTGCTTATACTGTTGTTTGAATGTCCATTATAATAGCATAAAGGTGTAACCTAGTAGCTTTGATCTTATGGAAATCAAATACTGTATTTTTCTTGCATACAACAGGCCCTGGAATATAATACACACCTTGGCTATTTTTGTTTGTTTGTTTTTTGAAAGGCAGAATGAAGAAGAATTTTTTTCCCAGAGTTGTGGCTGTGTAGAGCAGGGACAGAGCCTCATCTTCAGATGACTTGCCCTCCCTTTCCTGCTTAATTAAAGCTGAAATCCTAACTGGTCTCCATAGGTGGTTTTATGATTTTAAAATGAGCTAAAGGCTGTGAAATAGGAGGAGAGAGACCAGGAGCAGCTAGCACACAGCAAAATTGCCCTAAGAAAGGTTAGCTTGATTACTAAAACATCAGGCCCACTAAAAGAAAGATGATTGCTAACACCTCTGGAGTGAAAAAGTGTGCCATTGAGTCAATTGACTTCCTCAGCTGCCTGAATAGTAATGCCCCAGCTTCTGCGCTGTGCAACAAGAATTAAACGAGGGTTTTTCTATCTCAGACAGAAAATTGGATTCCTTGCTTAATGCATGCACCCCAGTTGGGTGGGGGGCTGATTTTTTTAGGGGGGGAAGTCACCTATATTCAAAAGCATGGTGTTTGTTGTTTTTATATACATCTAATCTAATAGCATAAACTGCCAGAACTATGCTTTTTATAATCTGCAAGAATTCTTAGGAAGAAGCACTGATGGTAGATAAAATGTCTTGAATTGCAGACCATTTCATAACTTTTTTTTTTTTTACTGAGGGTCACAGGGAATACCAGGGATCATCTTATTGCTTTTTAAAGGGACACAATTTTGTGAAGTTTGTACACCTATAACTTTTGTAAGTCTTTAAACATTAACATAAATGCATAATATGCATGTCTAGTGTATACAAAAAATGCAGGCTGATTCTAGTGCTGGTTGTACATTGTACAGTTTTAGGATCAAGAATGAAAGTATGAATACAAACTGGAATGTTTTGTTTTGTCTAAGGAACCTCCAAAGGAAGATCTGACAGTGTCAGAAAAGTTTCAGCTTGTTCTAGATGTGGCTCAAAAAGCACAGGTACTGTACTCTGTTCAGATTTCTTTTTTCATGACTTGTGTGGTCTGTTGTGTGTGGTGTACTGCTTTTGCTGCTGGCCCCACTCCTCAGCCAGCACTCGCAGGGGGGACACTGGTGCTTCCGCCTGCCCCCTGGCCTGCCAGCTAAATGGGGAGCGCGACTGTATAGGGGGTGCATTGGTGCTCGCATTGCCACTGGTTGTTCATGTGGTTTTTATGTTGTCCTCATTGGAAGAGCCTCAGGGCAGCTTACAATTCAAATTGGATACATTTATGTAAAGGCAGATAAAAATATGGAAATAAAATAATATGTAATAGAATGAACTCCCCAGACAGTTCCTCAAACTTAAATGTGCCTGCAGAAGACCTGTCCAAATCAAAGCTCTTATAATGCTTCTGGAAAATGTCCAGGCTTGGATTCCCTCTTCTACAAGGGAGTTATGGGAAAAGTATCTGCACAAGCTCTGGTTTACCCTTATAATCTCTTCAGTTAAAAGGGGGATGCTGGTAAGATGCCTTAGAGGTGGCAAATCTGTTATCTCACAAAAGCTTCAGATAAATCATTTTAACATACTAAAACTACCCAATCATAACTTTACATCTGCCTAAAGTAGCTGAAATTAAAAAAAAATTCCAACAAGCAACCTGCCTGACTCTGCAGACCAGTAGCATTCACACAGGCCTCTAGTATGTTAATTTCCCCATATTATGTCCTCTAACTACACCCTCTTATAAAAAATCTGTACATAGGTGATCTTCTGGGAAGGTAACTAAACTAGGGAGTGTTCTGTGCTTGTTCTTTTTGCTCTGCTTGGCAGCTAAACTGCAGTTGTGGGTTAATGTTTAAACTTTATGTGGAAGTTCATTGATCTATTCTATGCTAAATTTAGTTAGCTGTAGTTTATGGTCTCAGGGTGTAAATCCACATTCTAATATTCTGTTCTTTAAATTCACAAAGGCACTGATATGTTTCATGCCATCACTTAAGCCATTTAATTTGCTTCAGATATTTATTACATGCAGACTCCCAAATCTGCTTCTCCATTCTGATACACCACCCTGCGTCTAATCCCATGGGCCCATCTCTAGATTCAGGGCAAGACACTTAACTTGGGCATGGTGACTAGTATCTTTCCTCCCATACCTTCCTCATCTCTATTCTCTGTCTTCCTCTGATAGACTGCATGGGTCACTCAGGCCCATAACTTGAGGGGGAATCTTACTCTTCTCACTCCTTTAGAAAGCACATCTTGGAAGTTCAAAATTCCACTAGTTTATCTCCTCAGCAGCGTGGATTACTTCTGTTCTGTCCTTAACAGTAAGCAGCCTCACTTGTGTCCCTTCTACTGCCTAATTCTGCCCTTTGTCTCCTTTCTCTTCTTACTTTTCCCCAGTCCTCCTGACTGTCCTCTATCAGTGATCCCCATATTGTCTTTTTTCTACAACTAAAAGGAATCACACCTCTCAATACTCTTAGTATACCACATCATGAGATTTTGCTGGAAACAAAGAATTAACTTTAATAGCAAGGTTAAAACACACGAGTTCATTACACAATTCTACCAAACCATCAGTAGATGGATCTGTTATAAACTTTCTAAATTGGAACCATATCATCCCAAATATTTTTTATCCCTTTCTGGGGCATATTTGTCAAACTTAATGGGCGTAGTGAATTCCTGTCTCCAAACTGCTGTTTATACTGTAACAAATACAGCAATCAATCCCTGTAGTTCCAGTGTCATCAAAAACGCTAAATTTAGACCTGACTATAGCTGTTCCCTATGCTTAGTACATAAACTTCTTAATTTAAAATCCCTGCCAGGACACTTTGGACTTTCCAGGTGTAGCAATAAGGTTGAGCAATTCTATCTGCTGTCTTTAGATAACCAATGATTAATGGGTCACAAATTGCAGAACAAGGTATAAAACCAATTGGAAAGCCCCTAACTACTGATTCATGCATATTTCCTAATTTTCTAGATGGGGAATTCTCAACCCAGATGCTGTGAGATGCACCACACTGTTAGCACTGTTAGCGTGGCAAAAATTCACAAGCATTTTATATTTAAATAAACTGTATTATGACTGTGGTGACAGTTTGTGCCAGTAAACATATTGCCAGTTGTGCTAATGCAAGACTAGAGGCAACATTGTTAATGAAAGCTAGGTCCCTCCAATGTCTTTTATTTGAGTTTATCTTTGAAGATGCAACCAAAGCAGAGACAAACACCTAAATATAATTCAGAAGATAAATACAGAAATTTTAGATAGGCATCCATAGTGTCAAAAACTCTGTCTTGTAGTTTTTGAGTTCTTCGTCACAGAAAAATTGCTCTATTTTTCAAAATAATAGATCAAATAAGGTTAAAAAATCAGTGAAATCCATTATTTGAAAAGGGGTCTGCTAAATTCAGAAGGCTTATGGAAGGATGACTTGAGTCTAAAAAAAAAAAAAAGTTAAAAACCACTGCTCTAGACTAATTAAAACCATTAATGAAAATGTTCATAGTTAGTTTTCAAGGATTTGTGAATGTAAGAAAATGGTTTTGTTTTCCACCTGTTGCCCATCTGCAGGCAAAAATATTGTGCAAAAGTAAATCTCTTGTTTTTAACGCAGAACCTGTTTGGCAAAATGGCAGACATACTGGAAAAAATCAAGAAGTAAGTTTATATGCTTTGTTTAAAGGAAAAAAAATAGTCAGCAAACTGAAAGTAAAATGTTTTAACAACCATTTTTGTTTTGTTTTCATAGCTTGTTCATGTGGGTCCAGCCAGAAATCACTCAGAAGCTGTATATTGTTTTATGGGCAGCTTTTATTGCATCCTGCTTCCTACCTTACAGGATCATTGGGCTTGCAATGGGTAAATAAATAAATAAATAAATAAATAAATAAATGTGTGTCTAGAGACAACCACAAGTTATGCTTGGGATTCTAAAATTGTAAGTCTTTTTTTTTAAAGATCATGCTGTTTCACAGATAACACCCTAGTCAACCTTCTTAACAGTTCAATAGCTAGTCATCTGGGTGGGCTGCAGAGGTGAAAATGCTCTGAGCAGAGGGCTAAGAGGAGGCTGATGTTTGGAGGCAGCATACGGTATACCAGTCTGTGTAGAGGACTGGAGGATCTTTTGAACTGAAGAATGTGGACAAAAAATCCTCCTTGTGTGTGAATTAAACATTCCCATTGTGTTTCTGAAATTATCACATAAGTCCCATTTTAACTGCAGCATTGATTTTAAATTCCCATATTCAATTCAAAGTGTTGCTCATTTTTGTCCACATTCTTCAGTTCAAAAGTGGCTGAATTAACAAACTGGAACAGTTTAACAGGCTGTGTGTGGCTTTTAGAATGACATTTCACTTGCTTGTATGGCTGTTCTTAAAATCATTAGTTCCTGCTCGGAGATAAGATGTTTGAAGTACATTGAGTGGCCTAGGTTAATGGAAGGGTGCCTTTATAAAAGTAAGAGTACATAATCAACTGGAAAGTTTAACGTAAGGGATTATCATAGGGTAATGTAAAAGCATTATCTTTTGTGACAGAAGATGTTCAAATAGGTAAAAAAGTATTTATGTTTCTCCATGTTGTGCTAAAATCAGAAGTTCAATGTTTGATTTTTTTTTGTGCTTTAGCATAATAATACTAAACATGCGAAGAAACAAAAATATTTGTAGATATTTTGCTGCAAAAATGGGGGACACGTTTTTGCTTCTTCAGTAAAGTAAAATAACATAACCTAGAGAACTGTTCAGCAGTCTAATGTACCCTAACAATTTAACAAAAGGATACTGCTGAACTAGGTCAGTCTATATTCAGTGTAATTTCTGATTTCTGTCCTGATCCATTAATCTGGACTATTAAAAGGTTATGGATCAAACTGAACCCTGGCAGAAGTAGGGTGTTTATCCCTCAGTGAAGTCAATAGCAGGTCTTTCTGTTTACATCTGCTGAGTAACAGTGCCATTGCATATGATTCCCAAATTGTTTCACTCTGCTTGTTCCTGTTGCTACCTGTTTCTAGGAGTTGAGACAAAAGCCTGTGTGTAGATGTGAATATATTTCTACTCGGCATAGTATAAAATATATTTACAGAAATGTGTCGGTGTTTTTGATTGACTTCATGGAGATGCAACAAAAACTTTGGGTAAATTACTAATGCCAGTTAAAATGTGTTTGCTAAAAATGTGTTTTGTTCTTTGTTTAAACTGTTCAGGACTTTATGCTGGAATCAAGTTTTTCCTTATCGATTTTATTTTCAAACGGTGCCCAAGACTTCGAGCTAAGTATGATACTCCCTATATCATTTGGACGAATCTGCCTACAGATCCTCAACTAAAAGAAAGGTCGAATGCTACTGTGTCAAGACGGGTAAGTAAAGTCTCATACTTTCACGCATCAGACCAAGTTGGCTTGCTTGCTTTCATTCCATTTTCAGTGGCTAGAGCACATGGAGAAAAGGGTGGCAGTTAAATCCTAATTTAAGTGGCAGTCTGACATGTCTTTATTTAAAAAAAACAAACAACCCCTCCTAGATTCACATTATTCATAAAGTTGTTTTGCTGTATCTTATGAAAGAGACTTTCTGTTAGTGTGAAGTTTCCTTAAAAAATTCTGAAGTCTTACTTAAATATTTAACTACAAAACTGGCTATAAAGAGATTCTGGTGTCCATGTTGATTTCTGTAACAATTTTGCTCATGATTATAAGTGGAAACAATTTTTTGCTCCTTGAGTGCCAGGATTGGATTTTCAAACTGTCTGAAGTATAATTTCATTTTCATTAGAAGTGAAAAATTATCCAAACCATAATGCTTGAGTTTCCAACCCCCCTTAAGTTAGGAAAATTATTAGTAGAGGTTGGCAATACCTTTTATAGACCTGAATATCCACATCTTATAGATGGTTATAAGTGTGTTAGAAGAAGATGACCTATAAGCAATGATTATAAGTAACCTCTCAATCTGTTAGGACTCTAATATTTGTAGGCATGTGTAATATACAACTTGATTCTTCTTTTGTACATATAGTAAGAGCTAGATAGCAAATGGTATAATTGTATTTTTATATCCCCTATTATTGTATTATTATACAAATCAAGGCTGTCCAAATGGCACCCTACAGGCTGCAGGCACCCCATGAGACGTTAAATTGTGGCCCTAGGCTTCTACCTGGCCACAGCTCCCCCACATTGCTCTGGCAGCAGTCAGGGGCTCCAGGCTTCCCTTTCCTCTGGGTCCCCTTTTCCCAGAGGGTTGAGTGGTGCAGCATGGTACAGCCTTCAGTGTGAGGGGAGCTCTCAATCTGGTGTGCCTGAATGGCAAGATAGTGGGGGAATTTGAGGCTGGAAGGCTAGGATTGTGTCAAGGTGTGTGGTGTGGCAGAGGGAGGGCATACAGTACGGCAGTGGCAGGGTTGTGCAGAAAGGAAGTGTTTGTGTTCTCAGTATAGTTGGAGGGGAGTCACGCGGCCCCACTGGGCTGTGACTCCCCACTAATGCAGTCCGTGCTAGTGTGTCCTGAAGGGTGTGCGGCTGCCAGCTACTTTAAAATTGGCCAGCCCCGATCTGAGTATTTTAGCAATCAGTTATAAGACGGTACAGACCCTTTCAAAGATGACACATCTCTTTTAATGTTATCTTAAAGATAGCTTTAAAGTACAATATAAAGTGGGAATTATAGGTTTGAACCCCTTCAGATGAAGAAGGGCATTCCTGGGCAAGTGAAAACCGGGGCATATGAGATGACTACCACCACTGCCAGCCACACTTTAAGAGAGCCAGTTGATCCAGTTGAGTTTTAAAAATGCTCCGAAGTTCTGTGGAGAGGCAGTTTTAATAAATTTGTCTCAGGATCAAGTCTATAAAATTACTAAATGAAATCATTAGGGTACCCATCTGCTATGCACACACTGCCCTTTTAGGGGGAAGATGTACAAAGGAGTACAGACAGAGTTGTCCCTTTTGTGCATTAGCCATTCGTTTAAAGTGTGGCTGGCAGTGGTGGTAGTCTTCTTCTATACAATAGTTTTGTGGGGAAAACTAGTTTTGCTCAGGCGTGCCCTCATTTGTCTGAAGGAGCATCTCCTGCCTCCTAGGATTGGATCTTAACTGCTAGGTAGGGATGGGGCCATTTTCCATCTGTTGTACTGAATCTGGGCTACTGTACAGAAAGGAATTAAGGATTCATGGGGCTAGAGAGAGAATGCTCGAGAAGTTAGTCGATTCTGCACCCTGGTAAGGATATGATCCTTCTAGCAGGGGAGCACTATAAGTTATCTCACCAAGCGTATCTCCCTTGATCTGAAGAGGTGGAGCTTTTCTGATGCCCCATAGTAGCCAGTTTCAGTGGTGAATTGCCTATCAAAAAAAATGGTGGTGAAGACATCTGTACTAATGAGGTTTTCACTTTCAATTTCAGTCCTTTTTATTTTTTTTATCCTCATCCCCTGAAGGAATCCATGTACTGCAGTAACCCTCAGGGCAAGATGGGAAAGAGTCCATGTTTGCCTATCTGTTTCACAAGGTTGATTTGTACCTAATAAAAGGCAGTTAGAACTGTTTAGCTGGAATATGGGCAGAAGACAGGGCAGAATATCCCCTTTTATAAATTAACGTGTACAAAGAGGCATAAACTTTTGTAAGCAAGAGCTTACTTAATCTGATTACAAAAGCTTGTACCTAGTGGTGTCAGTGCCAAATGTCATTTGCTCTAAACTTCTGTTCAGTTAGGGCTAAATCCTTTGAGGTACTGAGAGCCTGAGCTTATCTTGAAATGCCTGCTAAGGCTAACTAGCTCTTCACAGAATAGGGCCTTAAATATAGGGGCTGGATACTTCACTCTCACGTATGGTATATGTGGGAGTGCATGTGTAGTATAAATGGGAATGGAGTACTTCCCTGACAAATGACAGTCCTTTTGGTTACTATCTAGGATGCTAGGAAATGAAGATACAAGGAAGCTCTCTAAAATAAGGTGTTGGCTGCTTTGCCAGAAAAAATGTTTTGTCACTTGATTAGGAGCTTGATCTAAAATTGAGTTTTGCTTTAGTCCATCCCATTGAAACACTTCACTCTGTAATCATCACCTTTCACTTAGAACCATTCTGCTTTTAATCAGAGTACTAACCTATGAAATTCAGATCATCTTCTGAAGTTAGGGGTAAATTAACCTAGAAAATAACCTGAAAGAGTTGAATTAATGTGCTCTAACCACTGACTGCTTTTTTTTTTAAGTTGCTTTCATTGTGTGTAGTTCCTTGATAGGCAAGTAGGATCTTGCAGCTTCACTCAGTTCATGTTTTATTCTGTATATAATAATGTTTAAATAGATTTCACTTTTTTTGTCACTGTCACATTTGTGTTTGTTTCTTTTCCTGCTAGCTGTCAGGGTATGAAAAGGTATGGATCATAGTGTGGAAAACTGTTTCAGCATTTGTGTTCATGAGAAGCTTATTCAGTTTTGTGTGTTTTTTGTTGTTTTTTCTCTTTTGTTTAATGTTTGTTTTTATTTATTTGGAGTGGTTTGGATTTTGTTTTATGTCCCTTTAGATAGGTCTTAAGTGTGGCTACTGGTTACTTATTAGCTAGGAAGTTCCCACTAGCAAAACAATTTAAATTGTGTGCAGTGGCATACCCATATCTAATCTGATAAATTTCTGGCTGTGCAAAAATGTTATAGGTGCCTCTAGTATAATGTTACCTTTAGAGGGATGAGAGAGTTTCTGTCTAAAGAGTGAAATGTGTTGAATCAACATCCTTAAAAATCTTCAGGTCAGTTAGTGCATTATGGCATAGCAAGATTTTGTAGTAAATATTGCACGGTGTCATTTTCTGGAGTTACCTAAAATGAGTTTGAATAGCATTCCTACTATACTTTTTTAATTCAGTTTTAAAGGAGGAATGTTAGACTATTAATACACTAATCTTTCAAAGAGTTAAACTTAAATATTGCTGTTCACATGAATTGCTTTTTCTTCTTACAGCTTCAAACAGCAGCATCAAGAAGCTATGTAGGTTCAAATGCCCCAACTGGAGTAAATAAAGATGAAGACAGTAGTCGTTTTCATACTACAAAAAGAGGCAATTTCCATGAAATCTTTAACCTATCAGAAAATGAACGTCCTTTAACAGGTACTAAACAGGAAGATGGGTTAAACTGATAAAATTAATTTGTTAATATAGTTACAAGTCTCTTAATCTGAGTGTTAGGTAGGTATACGCTTTTATTGTAATGCTAACTATTCTAAACTGGTGTGGGTAGTTTGAGAAATATGAGAGATACTTTTGTCCAGTGTCCATATGATTCTGTGAAAGAAACCGCTGATCCACAGGCTTTTACGGTACCATTGAATTTGATAGGGAGAAAAGATGCCTAATCAGTTTAGAGACAGTAGTTTGACCCTTGCTTGAAACTAATAGCTTGTTTGGAAAAATCTTGCCACTGATTTCTGAAAAGCAAAATCTAAGTCATGAGAACCCACGATAGTTGCTCACATACCATACACACCTTGTTTCAGGAAGGCAGAATGAGGAGTGAGGTTTTTTTCCAGTCATCTTTGCCATAGCATTGGCTCAGCCCTAGCGTAAGCTTCCTGCTGTATGGAGAAGGGGTAGAGTCCTCTCATCATCACCTCTCTCCCTTATGCTGTAGGCTCAACAGCTACTGCCAATTTGGTGGTGGCTGTGAGAGGGTTAATTTGTTAGCTGCAGCAGGAATGGGGTAATAATGCTGGTGACTGGACTCTTATCTTTGCTCTGTGTGTCTGAAGCATTTACAGCTGAGCACAGCCCCTTGCTGCCATTCCAGTATGGAAGTAAATTTTATTGCTTAAGATGTATCCAAACTTTGCATGGCTCTTTATTTAGAGGAAAAAGTTCATGCGGTATGTGAATAAATGTTTTATATTGCTTATTGTAGGAAAATCATCTATATGTGGGAGTGTACTTAATGCACCAAGCGTACCCAGTGGGGTCATTTGATCTTGAGAAAGAAAGATGAAAATCTTAAGACTGGCTTCCTTGAAACGCTGTGTTTTGTGTTTTTGGTAGCATGTGAAAATGGTTGGCGTTGCTGCCTGATTAACAGAGATCGGAAGATGCCTACAGACTACATTAGGAATGGAGTTCTTTATGTCACAGAAAAGTGAGTCACTGGTGCTTGGCAGTATATTGTTTGAGGCAAGGGCAAGAAGGAATCTTTTCTTTGTGTGTGGGGGTGTTTCCATTAGAAGTGTATTTGGTGGGGGTAGCAGGTCTGAAGTAGAGCCTCTAGAAAAAGTTTTAAGATACTCAGCTCTGACATTTTGCTATAAAGTGACTTTTCATAATGTTAAGAATTCAGGGAAACTAAGGAGGTGACAGCTGGAAACTGGAGCATGGTTGATTTAACAAATGTATTAGTTGTCTGGGAAATGGTTGTAGATGAACAAACAATAAGGTTAGCTATTCAGTATTTTGTATGTTAGCTGTAAGAAGAGATTAAGAGGGAAGCTTTTAGCAGAGAATGAGACACCTAAATTATGAAAAGATGTATTTTAATTAAGGATAATTTAACCAAGTATTTTAATTAAGATAAAAACTAATTGATCCACTATCTACTTTGTTTAAAAAAAGACTTTTTTGTCCGTTTGTGTTGCTATGTACTCTTGTCAGACAAAAAAATGTTTTCAAAGTTAGTAGTCTTTCAAAGTTAGTTAGTCTTTATTTCAGAAAAAGTTATTTGCTGTGTTATGGTTGAACACAGTGAATGACTGCTTGAGCTCTTTAAAGTTGAGGGTATGGACAGGCATTCATTTATAATGTGATGGTGTGTCTGCACTTTATGACACTACAAAATATAGTGCTGTGTGGCTGTACAGAGGTGCCAGTACCCTGCTGGAGGGCTACACAGTTGCCTGCAAAGGCAGAACTGCTCTCCTTGTTCCTGCTTTCCTGGTGGTGGTAGTGCTACTGCCAGAACCCCAGATCATGCACGCACACACACATACTCACCCCTTCTGCTTAGCAGCCAGCTTGACCACACAGCTCTTTCTGGGGCTTTTGAAGTGGTGGCCAAAATTGCTTTAAGAGTTTGCTGCTGGGTGAGCTATCAGAGAGGCAGCTGTTCTTCCACCCTCCCTCCCTTGAAATTGGAGAGGAAGAACAGGGACCTGTGGGATGCTGGAGGTTCTAGAAACCCCTGTAACACTATGTGTAACTGTACAGAGGTTCTGCTTAGGACAACCAAACCAAGAAGTTCCTCCTGGAAAGAAGTATTGTTTTATAGCACTTTTGCCATCATTGTAGCTTAAATGGCTGTAGACGCACTTATTGAAGTGCTGCAAGGGTGCATTTAGTGCTACAAATGTAGCTCTTTTCCATGGCCTGTGATCCCTTCAGTGTGTTACAGTCTAGTGGAACTAAACACTCTCTATACTGTGCCACATAGTGATGGAGAGCATTTTGTAACATCTAGAGTTTCAAGCCTTATTTTGGTCATTTTTAAGTATGACTGCATCCAAATAATGTGACTACAGTGTGATTTGCTTTCATTAGCATTCATTTAAAGGAGGTTATTTATAAAACTAGCTTGTTTCTGAAGTAAGTGAAAGAGAAATGCACCATTCTGAAACAAAAAGATGTGCATCTTTTCTGCCATCTCATGAGACTTTGATTGCAAAGATATGAGTTTGAAATGTTAGTGGTGCATGGTTTTATTTCTCTCAAAGTTAGCAGAGGGAGTTCATGACAGCTTTTCTTATTTTTAAAATTATAATTTGACACTTTTTCACACAGTTCTTTTGAAAAACTGATTTTACTCTGAAAGATTTCAGAACTCCAGAATATATGCAGGGTTTTAAGAGCTTTTGTTTTCAGATTACAGCATTAAATAAACCTTTTTTTCCTCCTTGTTTTTAGTTATTTATGCTTTGAAAGCTCCAAATCTGGCTCCTCTAAAAGAAATAAAGTAATTAAACTAACAGATATAACAGATATTCAGAAGGTAAGCCTGTATTGGTTGTAAAGGGGTTGTTTTCTGTTCTATTGCTGCATTTTACTTTTGTTTCAAATGTGTATATTAAGAATTAAGTAGTGGGAATTTAAAATATTATAGAGATGTAATTCTTAGTGCAAAACTACATATCAGGGCATTAGAATTTGTTTAACTTGGTATTGGGATTGAAATATACAAAACAACTCAATTTTTGCCTTTAACAAGTTTTCCACATGCTTCCAAACTTTCAGGTTCAGCTCAGATGTACCTAACGGGGTTCTTTTCTGTCAACTGTGTGCCCTTTGGAAAAATGGCTTATAAAATAAAACCATTTCAGATGGTAACTGAAGTTTTCTAGCTCACCTGCTTCATTTCTGTCTCATCAGTCTTTCAGCAATCCTTGGTGTTCCTCCTCCATCTCAGATTGTCTCCTTGTTATACCTATCACTGTTAACACCTGCATTCTTTCTCATCTCAGATGTTCAACCTCTGTCTGACTAGTTTTTTGCCCATGCTCAGTCTTATTCTGGCATATTTCCTTTGTAATCAAAAATTTCAAATTTGCCCATGCTTCCAAAATCCTTATTCATGCTGAGCATCTCTTTTGTGGATTACTGTATGCAATTTATCTTGCCCACTCTAGTTCATACAGAATACAGTTCTTCACTTCTGCCAACCTTCATCTCTCTGTGTCCCTGCCCCCCCCCCCTTTTTTTATAAATTTTCATCCAACCTCTTGCACTCACTTCTGTCTCCAGTGTTACTGTCTGTGGATATGTCTACTGCTCTTTTCTCTCCATAACAATATTTCCTCTCCCTTTTTTAAGTAGTAATCTCTCTGCTTACTCCCCTTCCTGAACTATATACTACTGTCTTAGGCCCTGTATTGAACATGAAAAAGCGTCCTTGGAGAAAAAAAAAGTGTGTGTACACCCAGCACTTTAATTGGATTCAGCCATCTTACCATGAAACACCACTTGGAGTAGATCTAGGTATATGCTAGCTAGTCCTGCTAACTGTTTTGCTGCCAGAAAATTGTATTTGTATCAATATGAGGTCCTAGTGAAGAGGTGGCACTGCCAAGTTTAGGGGAGAAACTACCCGTGCCTTATATTTCTGCTAAGAACTTGCATCAGTTTTGCTGTCTAAATGTTAAACGTGGAATATGGAGCATTTTTGTGTCAAGTCATCAACACAAGAGCAGATTTGCCATCCCTGAGCCGTTGGGAATTTGTGCGTAGAATTTAATTTGTGGCCTCAGTCCAGCTCCTAGTTTAGTTGCCTGAGCAAAAAATAGCATAATCGGTACCCTTTTTTGGCAGTTGCACCAAAGCAAACAAAGACTGCATTGTGTGGGGCTTTGCTTTGTGCCTTTCTGCTGTCTTCCATTCCCCAGCTAATCAAGTTTGCACAGTGGGCATTTATTACCCTCTTTCCCTGCCCCCAAACCCAAAAATTATTCCCTTTTAGGAGTCTGGCTTCTTACACAGTTCACACAATCACAAATCTTTTGCCAGCTTTCATGGTGGCTCAGCACCTTTGTTGCTTTCCTGTTTAGTGGGCTGCCTTCCATTCCTGTTCCTGGCATATCTTTCCCAGGCTCTCTACCTAGCAACCCTGGAAGGATGCTCAGGGTAAGCACCTTGCTGGCCTTTCCTAATTCTTCCTGGTTTCAAATGGAAAGAGCCCTTGAATTGACCCATAGGCTGCCTCCAATTTCATAGTTGTTCTGGTTCTTAGTGACATGCTTTTCCTGAAGTTGGCATCAGCAAGACTGAATCCCAAAATTATTAAAGGGCCAGCTTGGGAGAAGCATGGAAACTGAATTTCTCTTCTGTTCTCTAGAAGTGGTCCCTTGGGCACAGGCTTACACCACCTGCCTTCATGGAAACAAAAGTCTGTGGTATTGATGCATGGTGGTCCTTTGCTTTCCAACCCATCAAGTGCTTGGCAGTATCAGCATTGTTGGAGAAGTGGGCTTGAGAATTTTGTTCTTAGCACACAGATGCTGACTAAGGAATAATGATGAAGGTCTCCAGAGAGGGTTGTGTTCTGCTTTCCTTGTTAGGAATGATCATTTAATCTGATGTGGGGTCTCTTCAAGAGGTGAAAAATAAAAGATAGGAAAGGGAAGGATTCCACCAGGCATGTGACACAATAATTTTTCAGTTTTGAATATTGTCACTGGTGCTTTGTTTTGCTTGGCCTTAGTTTTCTCCATGTGTTTTGCTCTTTCTAGTATGCTAGTGACAGAGATGTATGGTACTTTGTTTACATTACTAATATACTTAATTTATATTTTGAGGGTTCTTTTGAGTCTAATAGAGAGCTCCAATTTCCCTGAATTGTCACATAACTGTTTCACCTTCACCTATGAACTTTTAACGTGCTTATGTCCAGTGGAGGTCTGCCATTATCTTATGTTCAATGAAACTATGTTGAAATGTGAAGGAAAGCCTATTTCACTGAGATAATGCTTCAGTTCCATTATGTCTAATTGACCCATTTCATCTGTAAAATCTTTACAATGACTTATTTTCCTGACTGTCACTCTAAGTAGTGGGAATAGATTGTTTTTAACATGTTTGGGAGGATCCCCAGTATATGGGGTTGTGTTACATGCTCTACTCTTTTTTTGTAATTGGTCAATACATAAAGTATCTTTGTCTTGTTTTGTAGTACAAAGTGCTCTCTGTTCTCCCAGGATCAGGGATGGGTATTGCAGTATCAACACCATCAACACAAAAAGTAAGTCACCCGCTGTATCTGTATAGCTGCATTCCACCCTTGCATACTTGGGTTTCCCACCCTGCCTAAAGGCTACAAAACTGTCTTCTGCTTGCTAATATTCATAATGTGGAATGAAAAGTTTATATCTTTGTTCTAGTCCTGAGACCTGAATGTGTTTGTATTTATGTAGCCCATATAAGTGAGTTTGAATAATTCTGCTGTAGGAAACTGAATGGATTTTCTTCATTCCTTACCTGAGGCTTCCACTGCTCTGTCTGATGAATCTGACTATATTCCAACATCCTTTTTCATAGAGAGTAGCAGGTCTCTGTTTGTAGTGGTATCACCAATATACATGAAAGAGAAGGTTGCATCCTTTTCTTAGCTATAGGTTTAGGGAAGTGTCCACTTAAATTAATACTATAACCAAGAGAGAGGTTACTATGATTGGCATTCTTGGTGATTTCCAGGCCGCTGCTCAGCAAGTTTGAAAGCCCCACAGTGCAGCCCTACGCTGACCTGCAGTGCTCAGATTTACAGGTGCTGGGCTGGATGAAGGGGGTGCATCAGCTCCCCCAGCCCAGGAAGTTTAAAGTCCTGCACTGGGTAGCACTGTGGGGCTTTAAATTTGCCCATGCATGTGGAGTCTGGGATAAAGGCTGCTTGGGTCCTGGCAAGTTGAAAAGGCACAGAGGGAAATGTGGCATCAGGGACATCCAAGCATGCAGGGAGCTGAGTTCCCAGTGCTGTTTTGGCATCTGACAAATTTTTATTCCAGATGCCCAAAGTATAATGTCTGGCACAGTAGGACATGTGATTTTTGGCATCTAAAATAAAATTAGTCAGATCCCAGCCACACAACTAACTTAACATTTATGAGGAGCCTGAGAGAGATGCATAGCATTAATAGACCTGTTAGGCTGTTAATACTTATTGAGTTAAAAAAAATCTCAGGGCTATGCCAAAATATATCCACCTTGCATTCTGAGAGAGCCTCTGCATCAAGCAGTTAGAAACTGAAATATGATAACTGATATAGATCACTGTTACTGATGTTCTGTATAAGAGTGTGTGCATTGTGGGAAAAGGTGAAGGTAGAAATAAGATTTAAGGTGAGGTTTTTACAAGACTTAAAAAATTGCAGACTTCTCAGTGTTAAGGGAAAGTCCTTCCTAACTGTCAGTGAAATCCTGTTCCTTCTGACATGGATCAAAAATCACCCAGGAAGACGTGCCTTTAAAAAGGGAGGGAGGAAGGTGTTCCCTTGTAAAGATGTGTGTTACGGACATGGATAATTTTAAAATTATCCATTTAACCACCTCGAATTATATTGGTTAAATGGTTAACCGATAACACAGCAGTGCAGACGCAGCTGCTGGGAGCTGCTTCTAGGGCCCTTGGGGGAGTAGGGGGGAAGAGGAAGCTGTGGCAAGCCCATCCAGACAAAACAGCCCATGTGACGCCCCTGGCTGGGAGGGAACAGCTAACTGTTTAATTGACAAGTCATTAGGCTACCTGCTATTTTTCCTCTGTAACCTTGTAGGCTATGGATACTAGTCCTCCCTCACCCTTCCCGCTCCCCTGCTCCTTGCTCCTCCCTCCCTCCTGCCTCTCCGGCCACCTTCTGGTTCTTGCTGGCGCACTGCGTGGCTTCTCTTCCCCCGTCCCTGCTAGACCGCCCCCCGCCACGTGCTAAACAATAACTGATGAGCTAACTGGTTATCACTGGGCTTATCGGTTAACCAGTTAATAGTTTAACCTTTCAGAGCGAGTGTGTGAGGTCAGTGTGAAAGAAACTGGAAAGTTCTCTAAAGTGTTTAATTTTTTTTTCTCCTTTAGCCTTTAGTTTTTGGTGCCATGGTACACAGAGATGAAGCTTTTGAGACCATTTCCAGCCAGCATGCAAAAATAACTTCTGCATCATCGAACAGTGAAAGCTAGTATCTTATCTTTAGAAGATCTAGAGGAAACTTTTCTTTTTTCTTTTACAATTTGGTAGTGAAAATATTGAACATCCTCATCTATTTTGCAATAATTTTCCTTGTCATGTGGTTTATATTCTGTATGTTACATCAATCAAGTGTATTTTATATATGCCTTCACATTTGATTTTAAGGTTTTTGTATTAAAAACAAGTGAAAGTGCTATCATCACTATTAGCCTTGCACATTAAGCACTTTTAATGTTTATTTACTGACATTTAAAATCTCAGAAGATACTTAGAGAACTGACTAGATAATACACTGGAATAGCTTCATCCCTGAGGTAGCGCCACTTTTATAATTAGTGATAAATTTGGCCCATTATCTCAGTTTTATTTTCCTGAGAGCTGAAACATGACTCTGGTGGCCTTTAGTATGGTCCTTTTGAGGACAACAAGCTCTGAATTAGGTACCTTATAAAACATATCAAGGAAATATTACCTAGTTTGTGTGCGTGTCTGTATATATCAACTAAACTTAAGGCATTTTTCTTGCAGATTCTGTATCGCAAAAAGGTAGGGTTTCTTTTTTTTAACAGTCTGACTTCCTCTAGTTTTTCCTGAGTAGTTTCAGATTCCTTGTACAGAGAGTTCAGTGTTACAAAGCTGAGGGCAATGTTTGTAACCATATCTTCCTTTCCTGATTAACCAAAGTATAAGGAAGGAAGGAAGAAAGCTACTTTTTATAAAAGAGGGCATCAAAACTTTGTTCCTAAAATGTTAGGCAGCATTTTTGTATTTCTATTGTTACTTGTTATGGAAGGGCTCAACAATTGTACACATAACGTGTATGAGGTGTTTGTATGTTCATGTAAAAAAGACTTGTCCGCTTCTCTCAAGATGGGAGGGAAGGTGGAAATAATTATACCCAAACAAAACATGAGACCAATCTCAGTCTTTTTTTCCCCGCTACTTTTTTGAGAGTTCCTTCTAATGGAAATACCAGTTTAATGTAACATGTTTCCACTAGAAAACATACTTGTGGGGTTTTTTAGATATTGCTATACTTTCCCTTTTTTATTCCCCTTTTTTGTGCAATAGAACCTGACTTTTCCCATTGGAGCAGAGGTGAATCCTGGTGAACTCTTCTCATATGCTCCTTTCAGAGGGGCAAAGCCCATGCTGACATTTATCTTTAAGTTTTGAAAGCTTGCAAGTTTCTTATAAGAAGGCCCATCTGAGAGTGTTCAGGATTTCATTTTCATTCTCTTAACAGCACAGCAAAATATATACTAACCCTTCAGTGGTAGGGAGGGGAGAGACAGCATACCATATCCATTGAGTTGATTAGTACTGATACTTTCATTGCACAAACTTTCCCATAAAACCAGTTAAGATCTTAATTCTTTTGGTGTCTCAGTGGTGGTGTGAGATATATATTACACCATCTTATAGTTCATAGTTCTGTGTAATCTGTCCTTTTGGTTTTTGTTTTTTAATTCATTTATTTGACCAGTATTTGGGGACAGGGTAGTTGGTAAACTAATTTCAGCCTTACATTCAGTTAAGTATATTAGCAATATGAGGTACCATGGAAGGTGGCACTCTGGAAAGTGTGGAAACCTATTTGAAAGTGACAGTGACGATGATTAATCATGTAAAAATTTAATGTTGATGGTTTTTCTTTTTGTTACTACATTTTCCTGTGTAGTGGCATTCAACTGAATCTTAAGAGTCCAAAGCTGCCTATGCTGAATCTTGGAGCTCTAGATGGTGTAGTGCACACATAAATATTTAGCAGTGTCTATTTGCAAATAAGTTTAAAACTAAATTTCCATGCACTAAGGTCTCTGTTCAGGAGAGTTATTAGAGCACAGGCTTGTATGTTGCCCTGTACAAGGTTGGGTGCCAGCTTATGCTCAAATTTAAACTTTCAGGCCCTGGGTCAAAGGCAAATGTAAATTCAGTTGATAGGAGACACAATTTTCTACCAGTTATTATAAATGCTTATTAATCAGATATCATTTTAAGCTCTCTATTTGCAGCTTGCAGGTTTATGTTCACATCAAACTCTAATTTTGCAATTTTTTTTTTCAAGGAAGTGCAGTTCTGATTTTTACAAGACATTAAAGTTTCATTTATGCAGTATTGGGGTATTAAGGTTATTCTTCCTGAAGGCTCCTTCAAGAATTAAAGTGAGGAAACAAATAATAAGCAGTGAATAAATAAGCATTAAAATAGCTTAATGTTATATACAATTAAATCAGTTCCATGGCTCATTTGGTTTGTCTGTAAATCCCTTGGGTTTTTGTGAGGTGTTTGTTGTTTTTTTCCTCTTTGAAGAAACAGAAGATTATATTTTTTACAGAGAGCAAGCTGTTTTTTCTTATTTTTGTATCATTTTCAAATGTAATTTCTACCTTCACTCAGATCATAAGACACTGGTTTTAGTGAGAGAACAGGTAACTGCACTTATTACATCCTCCCCCCTTTGGTTGACTATAGTACTAAATATAATCAGATTCTGATTCTTGAAGGACCTAAAATTATTGTGCTGATGGTGCTGGGACTGTTAGTCATACTCATGCTTTAAAGAAGGGGAAAAAAATCATTTACCCTCATTCCAGATTAAAAAGGTTCATACACATGATGTACTCTGGCTTGTCCAACAAAAACAAACTGACTGGAAATACTGATTTGTTATTCAGAATTAATCTGCACTTTAACAATATGAACTTTTTGAAAAAAATTGTTAAAGCAGTATACTTATTGCAAACTACAATGCAACATTTCTTATATCAGGATTAAACAAAATGAACTGGATTTTTTTTAGAGAAGATGTGTAATGTAATTGACAAACATCCGTGTATATATTTTACAAAGTTCACTTTACATTAGGTAGTAAGTATTACTGCAAAATAACTACTCCCATGTGTAATGTAATTACAAAGCTAGAAAATAACTTCAGTGTGCTTACTGGTGAGTACTGCTATGCTTTTGTTTCTCCTAGGCCCTGAAATATTGTGGGGGCAATGGGTAATCATATAGTTTACTTGTGTAATTACACTGAAGTTAATAACCTTAAATTTAAATCTTCCAACATAGAGGTTGCAGTATAACCTGCTTAATTTTGATTACAGGTTGAATAGTGCCACTTAATGTAAAGTGCTACTTTTAATAGACAAAAAGTGGTGTTTTTGCCATACTGTTGGTTGCTGTTTACCCTTGTAATTCTGTTGTTCTGTATGGTTCATTGCTGGATCATTCACATTTAATTGGGTTTAACTTCTTTCCTAGGAGTGCAGGGGTTAGTTTGAGTTCCTTTTAAGCAAAAAGGGAGATGAAAACTAGCTATATCTGTTATTCATTGGTGACCATTCAAATGCCTGAAGAAAAATACAAATACAAAATCATGTCTTTCTGTACATTGTCACTCAAGACTGAATATAAATTTGCTACTTGTAAGTGGCAACATCACACAAAAAGCCAGCACCAAAACCTGACTGCTGTTCGTGCAGACCAAGAGGGAAGATATGTTACCCAAGAGTGAGGAAATGAAAGTATGTACATAGTTTTTTTCCCTTTCCTTTTTCTTTTGGCAACTTAAAATCCTGGTAATTCTGTTGAATTCTGTACATTTGGGCAGACATTTAATTTGTATTACTAATCATTGAAGTAGAATGGATGTTAAAATTTTTATGTCTGAAGTTTGAGTCTATATTTTGAAGTTGTAAATAATTCATTATCAGTGTAACTTTTGTCTGACAAAAGGCTTATACTATATGAAGAATTGAAATAATGAAATAATTTGCCCTGTACATTTTTTAAGAAAATCTTGTTTGTTTAAAGAAGTCTCTTGTATAAATTATAATTTTTATTTAAATAAACATAAAAATGCTTTGTGCTAACAAGTATAGTGTTTTACCACTTCTCCTATCTGCAGTAGTAAGACTATAGCTTCATTTTCATCAATGATGGCACCATGGCCATCAGCAGCAGTCGGTTGTAGGGGGTCAGGCATCCCTTAGTTCATGCAAACAGTTCCTCGTGCACCTTTTGGAGCATGTATGTTTGGGGCACAGCGGTGGCATGGGGCAGTGCAGCCATCAGCCATTGTTCAATTAAACAAAAACTACTGCCCAGAAGAAATATTTCAAGTGCAATTAAAATGTTTTGGGAATAAGTGGGGGGTGAGGTGGGAGGGTTAAATCTTTCATTCTTTCCTCCCCTAGACATGGTTCATTGCTACTCATGAAGAACAACAGTTGACTTTGCAAGCTTGATGCCAACTTCATCAGATAACTCTTCAATCAAATATTTATGAATATAAGATTTTCAGCTACTGGGTAGTTTCACAAAATATTTTATTTGACTTGTCCCTATCTGGAATAGTCTAGAAGTCCTATTATTTACTTGTGAAATGTGAGTGGTCACTTAAGTTTCTGGGTGTTTCTGGTCAGAGAAGAGGACATTTTAAACCTAACAGTTAATGATGCGAAGGGAACATTCCCTATCCTTGTTTTCTCATGAATAAAGGTCACTTACACCATGACCAGCCATTTTTTGAACACTCACATTAAATAAAACCTCAGAATGGAACTAAGGAAAAGAAAGCAATCACTCAATATGAACTTAACCATTGAGTTTTGCTAGTCCAAATACTGAGAAACTGAATGAGATAGCATAGACTTGAGAAGAATTTCAGACAATGTCCCAAACACTACTAAATTATACTAGCTAACATCAGCCCTGCATGCCATAGAGGTTCTCTGGGAACATGTGAATTATTGTGCCATAGGACACATTGTTTTTCTTGTCACGTATTATCTTTAAACAACTGCATAATTTTTTATGATGTTTAATAGTTGGTATACTTTACTTACATTTGGCCAGCTCTAGTTAGGATAATGAGTCATAAGTTTCACCTCTTCCATTACCTTCTGAATTTAAAACCCAAAATTCATAGAGTACAATTGTCAAAATTTGTTCACATAAAAGCATTTGGGCATTCACATCTTTAATTCTTTCCATAAGAATTCAGCCAGGCAAGGGTAAATCACTTTCTGTGGGTGCATCTACATGTGCATTTGCTGTGGCACCAGTTTACTCACAAGTAACCGGTGCTGGGCAAGCATCTAAACATGCAGGGAAGTGGGAGCAGATTTGCTGCCAATCTGCTCCTGCTTCCCAGGTCCCTGCAGTGGGGCCTTGCCTGCCACTTTTGGGGAGTGCCAGGCTCTGGTTGCACCTGCCAGCAGCCAGGAATGCTCTTCAAAAACCAGCCCTGCTCTCTGCTTTCTGATCAGCCACTTCCTTGACAGCAACAACTAGCACCCAGGATTCCTGCTGGCCGCCACATTGGCTCTGTTAGCCTGCTGCACTAACTGCCACCTGGCCTACAGCCATCTCGCCCCTCCTGGCTCCCCCACATGCAGCAACCTCTTGCCTGCCCACCGTGGCCTGTCCCAGGGCTGCTTCTGCACATCTGCCACCTCCATCCTGTCCACCTGGCCAGACCTTGGTAGGGATGTTGATGACAGGCTCCAGGATGCCACTGCTGGGGCTGCTGTTACTATGGGCCTCCAGCCCAATCACCTTTGAGCCCACTAGACCAGCCAGGATTGGTGGCTGCATGTCATCCAGACCATTTAGGATGATGAGCAGTGGCTAGAGGCCTTCTGCATTACCTGGGCCACCTTCTGGGATCTCCTGGAGCAGCTTCTTGTGCATCTGGAGCAACAGAACACCAACAAGTGGCCGTGCTTTCCTGCAGACACCCGGCTGGACCTCGTCCTGCTCAAGCTGGCCACACCCGCCAGCCTGCAATGTGTTGGCCACCTGTTTGGCATGGGCAAGGCCACCACTGGGGAGACTGTCCTGGAGGTGTGCAGTGCCCTCCAGGATATGCTGGGGGACACTGTGCTCCACATGCACAACCCCTTGGCAGGGATGGGATTCCCCCAGTGCATTGGGGCCCTTGACAGGACTGACAGTTCTGTCACCTGCCCACCCCATGGGGACTGTCCTTAGTACAGCTGGAGGAGTTTTCACTTCATGGAAGATTTCCCGCAAGGCTTGGGCACAGGAGGCGTGGTAGGTAAAGGACATCTGACAGTGCGGGCCAGGGCAACAGATGCAGGAGGTGCTGGCAGATCACCTCCCCTCCAGTACTCCCTGATCTAGCCCACCTGCACTGCTGCCCACAGACCGCCCCACATCTTCCCTACTCACCCCCATCACCAGGTTCACTGCAGACACATAACAAAAACAAGTTTTTATCCCCCTCACATTAAATAACTCTTCTCACCCATCCCTCCCCAACAAACAGAGCCTCCTTGCCCCACACACCACCAACCAAGCAATAAAACACCTTCTTCCCTGTGAAAACTTTGTTCAATGTCCTTTGTGTTCTGTCCAGGGATGGGGGGCTGTGGGCTGGAGGGGACTAGGGGGCAAAGCCCAGAGACAAGTGGCCAGCCCCCTGGCCTCTGGTCACTGCTCCACGGATGTGCACACTGCCTGCATGCCAGGGGTTGCCAATACCTGGGGTAGAGGCTCCAAAAAGAACAGCCCAGAGGATATATGGACATTTTTCTTTGGGTTCTTATTGTTCTGTTGGCACTTTCAGGCCCCTCCCAGTGGCAGTTTGGGACACTCCTTTTCACAGCTAGAGAAGCTCAGTGTCTAGAAACTACTTCCTCCCAGTCTCTAGAATGTGTCATGGGAGAGGCTGCTGTCATGTTATACAGTTTATAAGAATACATGACTATTAGAAAGAGATGAGAGCTATTGAAATTAAACAATAAAACCAGTGCAAATGGCTACAGACTGATTGTAACATTTTAGGTTAGAGATTAGACGTTTTTAAGTGTTGGTGGGTTAATGTTTTGGAATGATCTTCTGAGCAAAGAAGCAAGGGGAAAGAGTCTGAATTATAGTTTCATAGTGCTTAGGGTCGGAAGGGACCTAAACAGATCATCAAGTCAGGCCCCCTTCCCTGGGCAGGAATGGGTACTGCAGTCATATCACCCCAGCCACATCTGTCCAGCCTCCTCTTTGAAGACCCCCAAGGTAGGAGAAAGCACCACCTCACTTGGGAGCCCATTCCAGAGCCTGGCAGCCCTAACTGTGAAGTAGTGTCTCCTGATGTCCAGCCTGAACCTTCTCTCTAACAATTTGTGGCTGTTATTCCTAGTAACCCCGGGTGGTGCCTGGGGGAGCGGAACTTCCCCCAATTCTCGCTGATCCCCCCTGGTGAGTTTGTAAATGGCCACCAGATCCCATCTTGGCCTTCTCTTGTGGAGGCTGAATAGATTCAGGCCCTTTAGCCTCTCTTTGTAGGGCCTGCCTCGCTGCCCCTTGACCATGCAAGTGGCCCTCCTCTGGACCCTCTCAATGCTAGCCACATCCCTCTTGAAGTGCGGTGCCCAGAACTGGACACAGTACTCCAACTGTGGCCTCACCAATGCCGCATAGAGGGGAAGGATCACCTCCCTGGACCTGCTTGTGATGCATCTGTAGATGCATGACAAGGCACGGTTAGCCTTACTGACCGCTTCCTCGTATTGGCGGCTCATGTTCATCCTGGAATCAACAATGTCTCCAAGATCCCTTTCTGCCACCATGTTGACAAGAAGCGTGTTTCCCAGCTTATAGGTGTAGCTGGTTTCTTCTCCCTAGATGCAGTACTTTGCACTTGTCTGCATTGAATTCCATCCTATTCACATCTGCCCACCTCTGTAATCTGTCTAGATCTAGCTGGATTCTGTCCCTCCCCTCCAGCGTGCCCACCTTGCCCCACAACTTGGTGTCATCAGTGAATTTGGACAGCATGCTTTCCACACCCACATCCAGGTAGCTGATAAAGATGCTGAACAGTACAGGCCCCAGGACTGAGCCCCGGGGGACTCCACTGCCACATCTCGTTAGGTCGAAAATGACCCATCCACCACCTCTCTCTGGGTGTGACCATCTAGCCAGTTTGCCGCCGTATCAGACTGTGTAGGAATCAGTGCCACAGTCACCTAGTTTTTTTAAGAAAATGTGATGGGAAACCATGTCAAAGGTCGTCTTAAAGTCCAGGAAGACGACATCCACCCTGACACGCTTGTCCAGGGACTTTGTGACCTGATCATAAAAAGACACCGGGTTAGTCAGGCAGGACCCGCCCTCAGTGAACCCATGTTGGTTGCCCCTGAGCATTACCTCCCCTGCTGGGCCCTTGCAGATGTGCTCTTTGATATTTTTCTCAAAGGTGTTCCCAAGGACTGAGATAAGACTGACTGGCCTATAACTGCCGAGGTCCTCCTTTCTCCCCTTTTTGTAAATGATGATCACATTGGCCCTTTTCCAATCCTCTGGTACCTGGCCAGTG